TTTTGCCGCCATCCTTTGGGGTACCTGCTTCAATAGCACGAACATGCCTCCAAAACTTCCGTTGCCTTTTCACGATGCTAAACGTTCTGTCACAGCTTATGATCTATTCATCTTTCGTGTCGCTGTAACTGCATTCATATTCAGAGAACAACCAGAGGTTGTGAAAATAGAACACTCAGCCTATCGTTGAGCGGTACAAATTAATTTTGAAAGACATTCGAATCAATTTTTACGACGGCTGTTCTTGTGCGCACTACGCCTGTCGCCTGGTGCCACTTGTGGGGGCCAACGCCGATCGCTTTTACGGAAACCGCAATCCAGGCCATCGCTGCCCTTGTTCCCAAAATTGCGGCCGCGCAGGCTCAAACTCTTTTGATGTAATTCATTGTACTAGTCGTGTCTACATAAGAATGAGCGTACTCATGCAAGCATGGGATGGCCTTGTTCGTTTCTCAAGCCAACTCACTCAACAGCACAACTGACAGCACAACTCAACTCGACTCACTCTATTTGACACGAATGAGACCCCTTATTTCTGTGCAAGAAGCATCGTTGGGTGAAGCAGTTGTGGGCAAATATTGCCCCCGGTCAAGGGCTGAAGGACCATTTCGTTCTACCACGGCGTGTCTTCCGGCTGACATTCTGGCGACATGGGGCGGGGTCCCCTGGTCGATCCGGAGGCCCTTAGAGGGATACGTATGCCACACTGGTCCCCTCCCTAATGCGAGAGGCCTTTTGACAGGCGCAGTTGGCCTCAGATAGACGCAGGAACCCTTATTGATGCAGCAACGTCCCTGGTCGGAGCAGGTGGCCAAATGATTGGCACATAGACCCCAGTTCGGCTTAACGGGTCCATGCTTGAGTGGGTTGGAAGGCCCACCGTTCAGTACTGGGGGTCCTGACTGGCACAAGACTTTTCCATTGCCTCAATGTGAACAATCACCATAAGCTGTCATGTTTCCTTCCACTGTCAGGGGCCCAGACAAACGCAGGAGGCCTCTGTCATTCGGGGTCCCCCCCCCCCCCCCGTCGTTGCTCAGGCACAATCTTTCTCTGACCACCTCGGTTCCGCTTGTTGTACAGTATACCTGGCTCGGCACTGTGGACCCCTGGACCGATACAAGAGCCCCCGCATTGTTGCAGGGTCCCGACCAATGCAGCTCGTGGGCCCGGCCATGCCCCTGCTTCGGAAATGGCCCCGATGAGTTCAGTCAGAACCGTTCATGAGCCGGCTGTTTGGTGTTCGTGATCTTTGGTGTGAATAAAAACACTCTCTGTCTCAGGAGTCCCCAATCGGTACAAGAGGCCCTCGGCCCCAAGAGATCACGGCCCTACGGATGGGGCCTTTTGACCGTCCGCCCGTCCGTCATTCCGTCCTTTGTATAACCTATAACCGGCCCTTCGGGCCCTTCGGTCGTCCAACCAGGCCTTTGATCTTTGGTCTCGAGAGACCCTTCAGCCCTCTCCGGACCTTCTCGAACCAAGCCCGTGGCCGACTTGGGGTCGCTAGCCAACACATGACCACCTTTTAGCCACCGCGGGCCTTTGACCAATGCAAAGGCCCAAACCATTGTTTCAGGGACTCACAACCAATGCAAAATTGCCCAGGCCTTGTTTCCTGGCTTGGGGAATGGGGCCCCAGGTTTCAAACTAACAGGAATCCAGCTGTTCCACGATCGTGGCCTCTGACAGACTGAGACACCCACATTGCTTCGGGTTGTCCTCAACACGGTCAAGACAACTCTGACTGATAATTCAGGTCACGACCCTAGGGGCCACGATTCTTTATGTAATCTACCAAGCCAGTTTCTTCGGGCCCTTATGCCCCTCCAACCGAGCCCTTGATTGTCGGTTCCGGTGGGCCTCCCAGGCCCCTCTTCAGGGCCTAATCGAACACTGCATTGGTCGGCTCACCCCTTTGCAGACAAGAGAACCCTGTGTTAGGGCGCTGTGAGCCCCTGACAGAGACGGGGGCGCCAATCAGTGTAAATCTCTGTCCGGGTTTGTGACTGACTGGAAGTGACCCGTCAGGTCCGTACCCGACGCGGGGCTGACTTTGGTGGTGTCAGTTTTAGTCAGACACCGCCCTCAGAAAACGCCTTTACAGTTTTCAACTGCTACGCCTCTGTACGTGGACGCATACCCTAGTAATGTGCGAGGTGAGGCGGTGTCTCACCAATGCTCTCCCCACAATGGAACGTAAGAAACACGAGGTGCAAGGAACTGCACGAAAACATGGTTGGAGCAAAATTAGATCATCCTTGGTTTCATTTCCCATCTGAAGTAGCTGAAATCTCACTCGAAATACCCGAGTGTCAGGCCGAAGTCGACAAAAACGTCGGGGTGGGCTGACGTTCTACGTGATGTAAAGTTTGTCGTCTGTTTAAAACTATGTCGCAGTGCTGCACCATCAGTTGTTTTACAAGGAGTTTTATGCCACTCAAACGGCCCCTGTTGTCATGCTTTTTTGCGACGCATTTTCCATGCCATCCTTTTTATCAGACGGCTTAGTAATACTCGGTGATGTAAAATTGAAGAAAAAAAGAACGCCAGTGGCGGCCTTCTTTATTATAACATTGCCTACAGTTCTGAACCTGAACAGAACACGTTCTGACCTGTAAAGGCCTATTCTGATATGTGAACGACCCATTATTGACTGTGGCGGGCCCATCTGCTGGCCTTTACAGCGCCAATTCTCACCTTTAAAGAGGTCATTCTCGCCTTAAGAGAGCTTGCTCTGGCCTGTAGATGGCCCATTAAGACATGCAAGCCCACCATGTCTTGAAGAAGACCCATTATTTGCCTGCCGATAGTTTAAATCCATTCTGACTTGTAGAGAGCTCATCCTGGCTTGTAGGGGCTCACTTTCTATTTCTAGAGGGTCAGTTTTGGCATTTTGGCTTGTCCAAACTTGAATATAGTGCCTGCGCCCACACAACTAAATCCCCTCCTCGGCTGCATTGCCGCCGGCTGCATGCGAGACGTGATCAGCGCGGCGCTACGTAGTGCATCACGGGGGCTATGTTGGGCTGCGTCTGCGGCTGGGCCTGGGTCCTAGGGCTGAGGCTAGGCCTGGGCCTGGGACTAACGCTGGGCTAGGCCTAGACTGGACCTGGGCCCGAGACTAGGACTGCGGCTGGGCATGGGTCTTTGTCTGGCACTGCAGCTAGGCCTGGAATTGGGTTGCGGCTGGACCTGGGACTGCGACCGGGTCTGGGTCTGGGCCTGGACTGAGGCTGGGTCCGGGCCTGGGAGTGGGCCTGGGCGTGGAAATGGGACTGGGGTTGCGGCTGGGCTTGGGCCTGGGCCTGGGACTGGTACTGCGGCTGGCTGGATATGGGTCTGGGCCAGGGGGCTGGGCATGGGCCGGGTGGTCTGGGTCTGGGTGGGTCTGGGTCTGGGTGGGTCTGAGTCTGGGTCTGGGTCTGGGTCTGGGTCTGAGGCTGGGGCTGGGACTAGGGTGGCAGAGGCTCGGGTTGGGCCGGGGCTGAGGCTGTGGCTGGGCATAACATGGCCAGTGACGGCGGATTGGGGAAGCCGGGATGCAGTTACCCGTGGCCATACGGGCAAATTTACAAGGAGACATTACACATCACCAAAGGGGCAGTTTACTTCGGCGTCGGTGTGGCAGACCACTGTGGAGACATACTGGAGGTTACAATTCTCAGTCCAGGGCCGGTCGCAGTCCTAGGCCCGGCCCAGCCGCAACCCCAGTCCAGACCAAGCCACAGTTCAGGTCCAGACTCAGTCGTGGTACCAGGCTTGACCCCAGCCACAGTCTCAGGCCCAGACTCAGCCGTGGTACCAGGCTTGACCCCAGCCGCAATAAGCCAGGCCCAGCCGCGGACGCAGCCGAATCGCCAGCCCAGCCCTGGTGCACTACCTAGCGCCGCGCTGATCATGTTACACGTAAAGCTGACGGCGATGTAACCAAGAGATTTAGGATGCAGGGGCGCGGGAACTATGTCCCAGCTGGAGGGTGACTTCAAAATGCCAAAATGGGCCCTCTAAGATTAGAAGTGAGCTCCTACAAGCCAGGATGAGCTCTCGACAAGTTTAAATGGAGTTCAGCTATCGACAGTAAGTAATGAACCTTCTTTAGATCATAATGTATCTGCACGTCTTAATGGGTCATCTACACTCAGCGCAGACACACTCTTGGGCCATCTACACTCAGTGTAGATGACCCATTAGCCATGCAGACTCCATCAGTAGTCTTCAGGCCAAAATGGGTCTTTCCAGGCCAGAATGACCCTCTTAAGGTCCGAATGTAGCCTTTACAGGTCAGAATGGCCCGCCACAGTCAATAATGGGCCGTATACAGATCAGAATGGGCATATGCAGGCCAAGATGATCCTTCTCAAATTCAGAATTGCTCTCTTTTGGTCAAAAGGGACCTTAATAGCCCAAAATAAGCCCTCGACAGGCCAGAATGGAAGTTGCATGCAACCCCCAGTTTTCAAATTTGGGAGGGGGTGAGCTACCCCACTGCCCCCCCCCCCCCCTCGGTTAACGTGTCCTTGTTTGGGTGCCATTCCCGCCCTTGGAGGAGGTGTATGCTCCGGGAGGCCGGTGTTATCAAAATCAACTCGCGTTGTTTGCTTTACGAAGACCTGACTCGTTCCCGTTTACCTATACGTCTACGCGACCAGTTGTACCACCCATGTGGCTCCCGCGCTCGACACACGTAATTACTTTGTGTCATACTGTGTATAGCAGTAAGTTCCAAAAGCGCGGGTTCAAAGCTCCTTTAAGCTTTGCAGCACATTATTGCCCGCACTGGAATTTTCATACATGCCCAAATAAATATGCGGTGATGTAAATATTATTTTCAGATGGTACAAAAGTATCGCCAGCGACCACACGCATCCCTAAAGTGACACTTAAGTTGATTTGGTAAAAAATCCCTTTTCTAGTAGATGAAAAATTAAGTTTGAGTTAAGTACGTTACCTCTGCGCCATATATGCATTCGGCCCTTAGCTGCAGCCAGCTCATGTACCATGTGCCTGTGGGACATTCACAAATCTACCGGTCATCTGAGCTCAGGCTGGGGGCGGTATGAGTTAGGCTGGTGCAGCTGGACGAAAGCTATCTAACTGACGTATCGCTGTATGAGTGCAGAAGGTACGCAACTGGTTGAGGATTTTGCTTGCACGCTCTACATATATCTGATAAGGCAGTGACAGTAGCTCCTCCAGGCTAGTGATATAATGCTAAATTAACCATGTGCTATCATTGGAGACCAGTTCCCTGTTACACAGTACCTGTTTCCCATGCAGAAAAAAGAATAGGTTAAGATGAGCATGACCTGCATAGGAGCAGTTCTAGCAGCATTTTGCAGGGTGTGCATGAGGCAAATCTGAGTCAAATTTGGCTCATTTACCACCAGTTTAAGCTTGCATAGGGGTGATGAGTGTTAATTGAGGCTTCACACCAGCTTTTGGAATACATAATTTATTTCTAGGATGACCAATATCATGCCAGTCTGCTAAGGTGGTAGACCAGTCAAGCAAAATATTTGGTAGGTCTGACCAGTGCCCCAAATGGGACAGCCAGCTTCTCTGCTTGGGAACAGGTTGATGATATTTGATGACACAGGATTTCTCAGATCTTGTGTGTGTGTTGTGTGTGTGTGTCCACAATGCATATATTTCCTTACTGAAACCATTAGATTCTGGGTTTCAAGACTGCCAATAGGAAGCCTAGGAATCCAAGCACTTAGTATCATAGCTGCAAATGTGGCTTTCCACTCTGGACATAGTGCAGAATCCACATATATCCTTAAAATTTGAAAACTGATGACCTCCAATAGTGTATTAACATTATATCCATAGGCCCAATGACATCTAAAGGTCCAAATTCATTGTCTCTTTGCTCCTTGCCTTTCCCTGGTGATTGACATTATCACATCATATGAATGCTATCTATGTGGTACAGTTGGTCCTTGTCTTGTGCTTGGTCTTGTCTACAGTATGGTCTTATTCTGACATGGATGACAGTGGCATAGCTCATTTCAGATGGTGACAGTGTGTAGTCAGGATAACCATGGACAGTACCTTGACCTTAAGCAGCCAGAAATACAGCTTGATAGCATGCCTCACAAAACTGCTTCTGGAGCCATGTATGGGTAACATAGATTCTGAGCTCTTAGACAGGTGACATGAAATTGATGCTTTGAAACATTCACAAAGTTTTTTAACTATCAGGTCCATTAGTTAGGAGTGTGGCTGCAAAAATAACTTGAGGCTGGGAATCATGTGACCCTTCATGAAAATATAGTTAGTGATTGCTGGTCTCAGTTGCAAGGTACTCCAAGTGTTATTTTCAGTCTACATCACATTGATAAGTTCACTCCCACACTGGTCCTTGTTTTCACAGGTGATTGAAATATCCTAGATTAATATTTTCTTCATTTTTTTGTTCATTTTTTGGCACTGCTTCACTGTTTGCAGTTATTGAACACTCTGTGATGTGCTGTTTCACTGGGCTAAGCCCAATCTTATCTACTTTTGGAATGAAGATGGCCTCACCACCAAAGCCTTGGAATGAACTTGAACCCTTCTATATCCAAAGGAGGCTATGTCATTCCTGAGTATTCCGGTTCTGGCGCCAAGCGAAGTGTTCACCTGAGACCGGCCAGACCTGATGAGCACCTTCCCTCCTTCAGGCCATGGATGCAGATGCACCGCCACCAACATCACCCTGGAGGCGGGTCATGACCATGGCTGTATCCTCCACATGCCAGCAGGCAGGCTTCACCAGCATTGAGCCATCAGCACTGGCCTACACTTACTGAGACCTTCATCAGCTGTGAGTATGGGCATAACAACTAGCTGGAGTCATTTGGGGTCTGGACCCTGGTAACTCTTGGGCAGGTGGAACCATCTGTTGTGCTTTTGCTACATAGAAAGACACCAATCTAGCAATGGACCTCAGTGACATTTAAGGTGTGGTTACATCCATGGCTGAGAATGGGACATGGTGTTATGAATATGTTGAGTTGCAGAAGGAGAAAAGTTTGTTTTATTGTGTTTTAGAAAAAGAGAAACTAAGAGGAATGTTGCGGATGCATTTGACAGAATAAGGCTATCATTCATAGTGATGTTCAACACCTTAATGTGAACCACTTCATTGAAAAGACACCCTACCATGTGTTTGCAGCATTAGTACACTTTTCCTGCGACCTGGAGGAGCACCATATAAGTAATGAGAAACAGGTGGTTTTTCTCGACTGGACAAGGCATGTGCACCCTGTATCTCTGCAGTGTTGAGGGAGCTGGCGCGCAGCAGCAAGGCGTATAGTGACCTGGCGTGTCGCAGTGACCTGGTAGTCGGCGATATTGTACTGGCGCTGGTCGACGCCGGCTTCAGCGTCGCATCGCTGACGGTCAGTGTGCCGCACGCGCCGGCTTCAGCGTCGCATCGCTGACAGTCAGTGCGCCGCGCGCCGGCTTCAGCGTCGCATCGCTGACGGTCAGTGTGCCGCACCGCCACCTGCGGCAACAATTGGTGTGACAATATGGGACACTGCCGTAAAAGTAAATTTCCTAAATTCGTGCTGTCGGAAATTACTTCCTCAATACAGTGCAATGGGTATGTGGGTTTGGACAAGACATGTAACTTTTCCCAAAATATCAGCCCGCTGCTCGGCCCTGCCGGCCCGGCCAGCCAAGAATCCAGCCCGCAAAAGCCTGCCGTGCTACAATGCTGACCCTACATAACCCAAATACCAAATTAGTTGCTGGGTTGCGTTTTTCATTTCTCCTTGATTTTAGACCCGTGCACAGCATGCACATAGAATGTAATGCCGGTGTATGGATGCAGAACATTGTTTGGCTAACACCAATGATGTGGATTAGAGAGCACTGATCAATACACCGGGAATGTGGGATGCCTGTTGTAACAAAGTAGATCACAGCACGGTGTTGGCAGATTGCAGTTAGTAATCAGAAGAAAGAGTGTGAAATTTAAAATGGCCTCACCGAAATACACCACATATTTCACACTTCCTCCCTATCTCAATAGACGACATGCAATGTCTTCTAAATTGCCGCGCAACAACTGATGGCTTTGGACCTACAGAGTAAAAGAAAAAAAATACTGGATGTTTCAAGTCATGGGAAGTCTTCTCCCGTCAGTACACTGTCCAGAATTACAAGCACCATCAAATGCATCTTCATGGCAATGGCACAACCTCCATTCAAAAAAACAGATGCAGGCCATTGTATAGTGTTTCCTGTCCTGAAAGGGAGTGCTCTACAGTTGTATGGGATTTTGAACTGGGAGAGCCATGTTGAGGTTATTCAGTGCACTTGGCGTCGTCATGTGCTATGCGATAGTCTCGGCGCCGTGCCGGTGTGCGGCGCCACTGTCTGTGCGCGCTCTGCGTCGCGCCGCCCGCGCGGCCGCTGTCTGGCGGAGCTAGCCGGCCGGCCGGGCGGGACGCACGCTGACCTCTCCCTCCCCGCCGCCGCAGGAGTACGCGCGCCGCAAGACGCGCTCGACGCTGCCGACGCCGCTGCCGTCGGTGCCGACGAAGCAGCCGTCGACGCTGCAGGTGGGCGAGAAGAGGGGGCACCCGGCGCACATCCCCGACCACCTGCCGTCGTTCCCCGACAGCCACGCCTATGTGCAGACGCCGACGCACAAGCAGCCAATCACCAACTACGAGGCCGTCCGCGAGAAGGCGGCCAGCCAGAAGCGCGACATGGAGCGGGCGCTCACGCGCTTCATTGCCAAGACGGGCCCCGTCGACCGGCTGTTCGACACTGACGAGCAGGCACAGTTTCCGCGTGAGTAGGCGGCTCGTGATAGCCGGGAAAGCGGAAGTGATGTTGCCGGTTATTTTGACCTCGTGATGATTTCGCCAGGTTTTGACCACGACGCCGGCCAACTTTGTCAGTGCGAGGCGAGTACAAAATGTCCATGCTTCCAATACGACAGCGTTTTATTCCATAGATGTGCGGCCGAAGGTTAAGTGCAAAAGATGTTTTGGATGATTTTGAGGATTTTAGCAGTCGATTTCTGCTTTCCGAATAGTATTTGCGTTTGCCTCAGGAACCACAAAATTGTAGAATATTGTTGGCAGGTCATTTCTAACAGCTGAACATTTGTCGCATCTGGTTGCATCATCCCATCATCTTCTAAAGCTATGAGCTGGTATCGTCATCCCATCGTCATTCTCCAAAGCTATGAGTTGGTAGTTATCGCTGGCTGTGCTGACAGGCGCCAGCTCCCAGTCGTCGTGCGCCGCGACGTCACCGATCTTTTCCCCGTATGGCTTGTCGGATGTGTGCCTGACGTACGCTTAAAACCACAAACCGTGATGTATGGCTGGCTGCTGGTGGAACGGCCAGCGCGATGGTCTGGTGCTGGGCCGGGAAGCACTCGCTTCCAGCCGAAACTAGTCGTAGTTCCCGGCAAGGAGGGAGGCCGATGGCCTGTCCTGCGCCTGCACTGCACGCTTAAGTTTTCTCGGCCTTATCTGGCGAACAGGCTTGAGTGCATCTCTCCTAGCCGACTTGCGTGGCATGGTCCCGACCACTCAATAAGCTAGTGCTGACAAGGAACACCGCGTTTCCAGTACCACTCGAGGAGGTTATCCATATGGCCAAATTTGTGTCGGCGCCAGATTCCTTAGCTTCTGTCATTCCTACCGTAGTCTTTTTCCTTTGTTGGACTCGATGCAAATTCCAGTTGTTTGTCACTTTGAAGGTCGTTCCTAGTAAAATATCAAACTGGCATATTTATTGCTAGCTGGAGTCTGGTGTCGGACTGAACTCGAGCCAGCGAACAGCAATGAATCATAAATAGCTAGTCTGGTACTCGGGCACTACATGGTTCAAGCGCTTGGCTGCCGCCGCTCCCGGCGTCACCTTGATTTCACACCGGCAGGATGTGAGCTTGACAGGTATAACTTCTAAAGTTATATTGTCCATTCCTGAAATTCCCGGATTGCCCCCGGGAAGGAAACTATCACAGGTCTTTCAAACAAGGTCTTAAACCGGTGCAAAAACCCCAATCTGTAGAGAAATTGGTGCCCACCCCAGCCCACCTCACCGTGTTGTACCTCCGTCTCTTCTCCGATGAAGTGCATCCGCTTACTGATGAGTGACCCGACATCGAATTCACCCGTGTGGTGAACTGCGCTGTAACTTCACATACGACCTGGTACTTCCGCCGTGACCTACCTAGTGCACCATTTTAGTGACCCAGCTTTTACCTGAGCGCCCTGTTTCAATGACTGCGCCGTGACCTGAGCGCTCTGTTTCAGTGACTCCGCCGTGACCTGAGCGCCCTGTTTCAGTGACTCCGCCGTGACCTGAGCGCCCTGTTTCAGTGACTCCGCCGTGACCTGAGCGCTCTGTTTCAATGACTTCGCCATGACCTGAGCGCCCTGTTTCAGTGATCGCCTGCCGGCCGATCGTTAGTCCGTACCTGCAGGCACTAGATCCGCGCGACCAGATCTTCGAGGAGGAGGAGGCGTACGTCCCGCGCAAGCGAGCGCGCCCCGCCGAGGAGCGCGACGACGAGCCGGCGCCGCCTACCGAGCTGGTCGACAACCCCTACCTGCGGCCGGCCAAGATGCCGCGCAAGCGCAAGTGATAGCGGGTGTGGGACACGGCGATGTCGCGGCCGCGCGCCGTCCCTCGGTGTGTGGGGGCTGGCATTTAGCCCTGCGTCTCGTAACTGTTCTCCCGTGGAGACGACTGTGGCGGCCGTGTGTGGTGCAGACCGTGCCGTGGTTCGCTGCGGTGGCCGCGCGAGGCACATGGAGGCCTCCACGACGGACGGCCGAGAGGGGAGGTGTGGCGGCCGTGTGGCGGTGTGGGTGTGGACTCGTGGAGTGCGTCGGGTCGCCAGGGAAGTGGACCTAGTCCACGCTGCCGCCTTTCTGCTCAGCTGGTCTGGTCGTCCTTACATTGTGTGCCACAGACATTAATGCGGAGAGTAGTGGGGTGAGGCATTGCTGCCTTCCCTCTCTATCTAGGTTCTGCCGCCTCCGACATTGATGACTGTGCTGGCGAGACGCTTTTCATGTAAAAATGAGCTGTGTGCGCTCTAGTGTATGGTCATTTGTAATGTATGTGAACCGTCCAGGGCATTAAGGGGAAGACAGTCGATAAAACTAGCCATGTCTGAACTATTGACGAACTGTGTTTTGACAGTTGCATATGCATTGGATGGTTCAATCAAGGCGTGCTTTTTTATGAATATAGCTAGGAAAGCGACCAATCGGCCCACCCGTTGCTCTGTCGTTTGGCAGGTGGTTGTCCACCGCTTAGGCAGATAACCGTTCGGACTTCACTAGTAGATCTGAAGACTGCAACGGTCGAAATTCTGCTTGTCTCCGAGAGTTGCATTCTCACGTCCATGATGCCAGTATAAGTGGCGACACACGCTACGCTCCGTAGATCGTCCACCTCTAATTTTTCTTGTAGTTTTTTTTTAACGGCGAACCAAATTGTTTCATCCTTGGTTGCACGGTCGGGGGGCGGGGGGGGGGGGGGGGGGTGCAGCACGCCAAGGACGTGACGACAGTCTTGAGTGCGACCTGCGTGGTGCAGGAGGATTAGTTATATAATTCGATTCGTGAAGCAAATTTTGGGACAATGTACCATGTGGACACTGATCCATGAAGGCGATTATTTGGGTCCGTAGGTCTTACGTGAGTGATGAAAAGGGCGTAAAACATCTCATCCGGGGTGCGATTTTGGCCTGGGATTGTTGTTTAACTGAGAAGCTTGAAGCTGGGATGTCTGCATCTATGGGGGAAGGACTGACCTGCCACTGCCCCCCTCCCCGCCCCCCCACAGTAATGGGTTTTTTACATTACGCGTATAGATGTAAATACAGCAGTCACAATAAACTCACCCCGCCGGCGGCCGGGCTTGCCTCCCAGGGGAATCTGTCTGGCCCCTCCCCTTTTTGAAACGGGCCTTCGTCTCTGCATACCTGACCTTAAGTAAATTAGGTTTGCTGTAATCCTAACTTTGGTTGTTGTATTGCCTAAGAAACAGTCTCGTAGATGTATGGCTTGACTACCACTTCGTTGTCTCATCAGATTAAACGATTCCCTAGAAATTGCCTTTACTGACAGCCACGCCTGATTTTGACCTGTCATAGGTCAGCAACCTTAAAGGGAATGCTTCTCATTTGAAGATATTGAAGCAAGGATCAACTATATTGAAAGAGGCTCATTTATAAATATTCGTATACTTTCAGCTGGAAAAACTCCCATAGATAACACAATTTCTCTGTTAAGAAAACATGCCGCTGGATATGCCATTGCTTGATTACGTCATCAGACCTTGCACGACATTGATTGAGAGCCAATTGACCACGGATATATCTAGAAATCGTGCTCACGAAACGACATATATGAACGAGCAGCCATCCATATTTTCTTGGCCTTGATCAGCGCGTGGCTTAAATAGTGACAGGATTTGAATGACCATATGAATGCGCCATGGATGCTCGGATGACCTTGAAATAGTCTCCCCGAAATAAACCGCACATCTTCGCGGGCGTGTAGTTCAGGACCAGGAACAGAACCGAATGATCCTCAAGACGGCCATTTCAATTTAAAATCCCATATAAATGTGAAACAGTCGCTTTATGAAGGCACATCGGATTTTTAGACCAAAGGATCTTCTATTTAATTGCTTACAGCTATGCACAATTTGGTGCGGCTACGCCACGCTAAATCAAACTGCAATTATGCAGGGGGGGGGGGGAGGGCGGGGCTAAGCCGGCCCCTCCCATCCAAGCGCGAGTTAACATTTGCAGGCCCCGGCAGTAGCGCAGGCAGGGGACACAGGGAGCACGTGACCCCCTCGCTTAGGTCCCGCGGGACCCGAAGGTTTCCTCGAAACCAACGATTAAGGGCCCGAATTGAGGGTCTTAAAGGGATGCCGGAGGTCGCACGCAGGGGCCCCGGCCCGCAGTGCTGGCCACTCCAATGTCAGCCAGAGGGCCCTGTGTGCTGGGCCCATATGTCAGTCAAACACCACCAGGAACGCAAAGTCGGGAACAAAGCCGGAACCAGCGATTTAGATTGGTCGCGGCCCCAGCGTCTGTCAGGGCCCCGCAGTCACTGACGGGGGTCCTGTGTTGACAAGGGGTCCCGAGTCGGTCAAAGGTAGTGTTCGAGGAGGCCTCAAGAGGCTATAGGGCTCATCGGGTCCGACGGTCAAGAGCCTGATTGGAGGGTCTCAGGGCAAGAGGGCCTGGTCAGATTCTTATTTAGGGGCCCGGCCTGCGGGGACAGGCCCCGAGATAACAGAGAGAGGACCCTTTGCACCGATCGGGGACCCTCTAAGTCGATATGGGCCTATATATTGGTCAGGCACCACCAGCACCGTGCAGTCGCCTCCGTACCGCTAGGGGCCTGAGTGTCTGCCCACTTCCCAAGCAGCGACAAAGCCGGGACCAGTGATTTACACTAGTCGTGGCCTTGTATCTGTCCGGGGCGTACAGTAACTAACAAAGGGCCCTGTGCTCACAAAAGCCCCGAGCCGGCCAAGGGAAGTGTTCGATGAGGCCCGAAGAGGGGCCCTGGCGGCCCACTTGAACCGACAGTCAAAGGCTCGATTGGAGGGCATAAGGTCCCGAAAGACTGGCTGCAGGTCACGTGAAGAACCGTGCCCGTAGAGATGTGGCACGGAATATCAGCCAGAGGTCATCTTGCACCGTTTGAGGACCCCCTGAGACAATGCCGGTGTCCTGGTCGGCCAGGGACCACGAACAGCGAACATTCGGCTCCATGCCCGTCTGAGTGTTCGAGACCCATTTCCCAAGTAGGAATGTTGCTGTAGCCCGCGACTTGCAATGTTTCAGGTCCCTGACGCAATGACGGGGTCCTGTGTTGGTCAGGGACCACAGTGCCTAACAGGGGTCCTGTGGCGAAAAATGATCCCGAGTCGGGGCGGTCTTTGAGACGGCCCGAAGAGGGGCCGAAGGGTCCTCTTGAGACCAAAGATCAACGATACTGTTGGAAGGCTGAAGCGTCCAAAGGGCTGGCTGCAGGCCACATTTAGGACTACCGACGATGGTACCGTGATCTCAAATGTTAGTAACAGGACCTCTTGCACCGATATGGATCGCTAAAACGGAGCGTTCAGAGATCACCAACAACGAACAGTCGGTTCCGTGTTGGCCTGAGCTCTGGGGCCCATTTCTCAAGCAGGGGCATGACCGTGGCCACGATTAATATTGTCGGGGCTCCTGTATCGGCCAGGGGCCCACAGTGCTTAACAGGGTATTCTGTGTCAACAGAGAAGCCCTGCATTGGCCGGGGTAATATTTACTTAACAGGGACGCGGACGGGACCCGAATGATGGGGACCCTTTTGCGTTGGTCGGGGACTTCTGACAAGGCAAGGAAACCTGAGAACTGATGGTGAGTGCTCACAATGAAGTAATGGAATGGTCCTGCGCCGGTCAGGGCCCCCAGCGCCGAACGGTGGTCCCTCCAACCCAATTCCAACATGGGCCCATTAAGCCGAACTGGAGTCTTATGTGCTAAATATCTGACCACCTGCGGTGAACAGGCATATTGTTGCGTCAATGACGGTTTCTGCGTCGATCCGGGGTCAACTGCGCGGGTCAGAGGGCCTCCTGCGTCAGGGGGCGGACCAATGTGATTTGATGCATCCCTCTAAGGGCCTCTGAATCGGCCAGGGAATCCCACCCGATGTCGCCAGAATGACGGGGCGGATACACAACGCGTTGGGACCGAATAACCCTTTATTCCTTGACCGGGAACAATAATGTGCCCTATAGTGTTGCACCCAGGAGGTCCTTTTCCCAGAAAGAAATAAGGGGTCACATTAGTGTTGAAGGGAGTGGGTCGAAATTAGTTAAAAACGCACAAAGGCTATCCCACAGTGGACCAAAAATATAAAAAAGTCTGAGGCTGCTTGCCGGGTACCGATGGTGCAGCGGTGCAGAGGTTAACGCATCTGCTTCAACCACTGTGCGTCTGGAAACCAGCGGTACGTGGTTCGATTCCCCGCGGTGCCCGCCCTTCCTGCCAGGGTGAGAGGCAGGCGACGCCATATAGCCTAAGCAGTTGAGTACGTTTTAGAGCTCCAACACCACCCCGGCAACGTCCGGTAGAACGGACAGCCTAAGCCATCGCGGTTTGGGCCAGTTTCCGTAAAAGCGATCATCGTTGGCCATTGCTAGTAACGCCAAGCGACGGGCCCCGTGCGCGCAGCGACCACCGTGAGATAATGTTTCTGAATTTCTTTCAAAATGTATTCGCACAGATCAATGACAACACTAAGGGCATCTTTTTGTTACAACTGCGAGGTTGGTCTCCGGACAGATTATAGTTATAGCAGCACGGAAAAATAGAGATTCTATCTTTTCCTGTTACAGTTCCACCATCAGATTCCAGCACTACTTCGCGGTGCTGGTAAGGCGAAACCATTATTATATTAATCTAAAAATAGCACAGGTAGAATGTACTTCCAGATTATCTCTTATTGTACGATTTCATATCATGGAGCGCTTAGAGGTACTTCTTTCGAATGCGTCATCATCTTGCTGTATCGGTTGAAACAGTTCACTGGATCAGTGTGAAATGATGGGCGCCGAGGATATATTCATGCAGCCGTTTTATGCGTGATTTTTGCTTTTTGTTTATTGACAATAAACTTCGGGCAATAATGATTTTTTTTGCGGGAGTGTCCAGCCTCTATTCCAGCCATGAAAGGTAAAGAATGTATAGTGCATAAATATACATACACACACACACACACACACACACACATATATATATATATATATATATATATATATATATATATATATATATATATATATATCAAAGAAAAACATCTTATCGACAAAGCCACATACATATCGGGGCCATATCCGGCTATTTCTTGAAGGGAGCTTTATTTTATTATCGGGGTCGTTCGTCAACCCCGAGCCCCACCCCTGCCAACGCTTCGGCTGCACACCTGGGCCCGGCCCCGCCTCCTCTTGGGACATTGGTCCGGCATCCAGACCGATGCGGGACCGACCGCTCAGTATTGGTCGCTCGGTCATCCAATCCCCACTGGCCAAGGTGCCCCCAACGGTGCGAGAGCACTCCCGACCGACTTTCTAGGGCCCGGCCTTCCGACTGGGGTTCTTCCACGTGCCCGCTAGCCTAGCCTCCGAGCCCCCCGATCGGACCCTCGATCGTCAGCCCCGAGGGACTGACGCTGGACCCCTCGACCTCGG